AGAACCTTAAAGCTAAGGGTAATAATGAAACATGTGATGGATAATTATTCAACCAAGAATTACAAGAGTTGTAATCAGTAAAGAGTTTACCCACCTTGAAAATGTAATGCTTGATGGTAAGGCCTCAATTCGGTCAACTATTACACAAATAAAGGATCTTGGAATAATTTAATTCAATAGGGATCAATTAAATTGAATAAATGCTTTAAAGTTACTATACTTATATCGCTTATGGTACTTTAAATTTGTTAAACATAATTATTGAAATTTGCCTCGTTTTCTTTTTGTTTGTAGATGAATAACCTTTAGGACAACACTATTTTTCTAAACAAATTGAATTTAAGGCTGAAACTCAGAAACTTCAGGGAATGGGAAAACGAGTTGAGAATTGTTCTCAAAAGTCAAATGCTTGAAGCTCGTTTATATAAACCCATTGAGAGCAGATATACTGTTGGTTTTACTCCTGAAAAGCATGCAAAAGATGTTTTGGATACAGCGAAAATCAGGATTCTCATTTTAAACTGTATTCCAACTTGTTGGAAAAGAAGGTTCAGGCACTATGAGTTGACCAATCTGCATGAATGTCTTCGTGACATCTGTCACGGTGGCATTGGGGCATTAGGAAGTAGAGGCATCAACGACCATAATGTAAGAGAGGTCGTTAATTTGATCCCTCATATTTACTACTTCTAGACTGACAATGTAAGGTTTAAGACTTACAATATCCATTGTAAGATTATAGCTAAGAAACCCATGTCTGGTCAGTCAGTTAGGACCCATGTCAATGAACTAATTGGGATTATTCAATCAGATGGATATCCTAGGGTGATCGTTCAATGATGACTTTGTGCATGACACTATTCTGTTCTCGCTCCATGATTGATTTGATCTAGTCAAGCTTATTCATGATGATGAAGGCTCGACAGTGACATTAGTCAACCTTTTGGTCAACCACTCAGAGGAGTACTTGAAGAGGGAAGGAAGTGAATGCTTCTATTGTTGTAGGTGGTCTTGCCACATGCTTGGGTGTCCCCATTATACACTGGTGAAAACGGAATGTAAAAAGTTACCTAATGTTTCTGTTGTAGAAATTAATCTTACTTCTCATTCAACCTAGGTATTTGATACCAGTTGTGGTGCTTACATTGTTAATAACATGCAGGGCCTTGAAAGGAGTAGGAAGTTAGCAAAAGGGGAAGTCACACTTCGAGTAGGAAATGGAGAAAAAGTTGTTGCACTTTCTATTGGAGATTATCATTTGAGACTTCCGTATGGTCTTGTTTTGGTGCTTAATAACTGTTATTAAGTTCCAACAGTTACCAAAAACATTATTTCAGTTCCATTTTTAGATACTGAAGGTTTTTCTTTTCAAATAAGAGACAAATGTTGTTTTATTTCCAAAGATAATATGTTATATGCTAAAGCGAAATTATTTAATGGTTTGTATGTCTTAGATTATACAAATCATGTCTAAAACATAAATCATAAAAACCAAAGAACATATGGTTCAAACCCAACATACCTATGGTATTGTAGGCTTGGACATATTAACCAAAAGCGCATCCAGAAATTACATAAGGATGAACTCCTGTCATCATTTCATTATGAATCATTTAAAGATTGTGAGTCATGCTTGCTTGGTAAAATGACTAAATCACCCTTTACGGGTATAGGTGAAAGAACTAATGACCTTTTGGACTCATACTTACAAATGTTTGTGGACTAATAAGTTCAAAATCTAGGGGTGGATCGAATTAATTTATTACTTTCACTAATGATTTAAGTAGATTTGGTTACATTTACTTAATGAAGCAAAAGTCGAAAGCCTTTGAAAATTTCAAAGAACTCCAAAATGATGTACAAAACCAACTTGGAAAAACAATTAAAGTATTATGATCTAATCGTGGTGGTGAATATTTAACCAAAGAATTTGATGAACATTTGATTAATTGTGGAATACTTTCTCAGTTAACCCCTCCAGGGACACCACAGTTGAATGGTGTGTCATAAAGGAGGAATAAGACCGTATTGGATATGGTTCGGTCCATGATCAGCTTTAATGATCTTCACATATCATTCTGGTGATATGCATCAAAAGCAGCTACTAAAGTACTGAACAGAAGCCCGTCCAAAGCTGTTAAAAAGAAACCATATGAGATATGGAATGGAAAATCTCCAAAGTTGTCTTTTCCTAAGATTTGGGGATGTGAAGCGTATGTAAAACGTTTACAAGGCGACAAAGTACAACCTAAATCAGTCAAATGTTTCTTTGTGGGTTATGCCAAATAAACAAGAGGGTATTACTTCTACAATCGCGAAGATAACAAAGTGTTTGTTGCTTGTGATGGTGTCGTTCTAGAAAAGGAATTCCTATATATAAAGCCAAGTGGGGGTAAAGAAGTTCTCGAAGAAATTCAAGACGAGCAACAAATGGATGTGGATAACACCACATCAAAGGCGAGGGCACATAATCATGCGTTGGAGAAAGCTAATTTGAATAGTGAAACTCCTATCGTCCCACTTGAATGTAATTCTTGTGAAAATCTTCAAAGAGTAGAAGAGAACATTTATATTGTTGCTCCTACCCCACATAGGTATGCTAGAATTAAAAATAAACAGTTTGTTAAATTTCTGTTAACTAAGGATTCTGAAATCTTCCTATTGGAGAATGAGGAACCTGCAACCTACAAGCAAGGTTTGGCGAGCCCCAGTTCAGATAAATGGCTTGAGGCCATGAAATCCAAAATGGAATCAATGTCTGAAATGTTGTGTGGACCCTAGTAGAATTGCCTTATGGGGTAAAACCCATTGGTTGCAAGTGGATATACAAGTTTAAAACAAAAAGGATGGAAATGCCTACATCTACAAAGTAAGACTGGTTGAAAAACGTTACAGACAGATTCATGGTATTGACTATGATGAGACCTTTTCTGCAATAGCAATGCCTAAGTCCATTCAGATTCATCTAGCGATTGCTGCATTATTTTATTACGAAATTTGGAAGATGGATGTCAATACCGCCTTTTTGAATGGGTTCTTGACGGAGGAAGTGTAAATGACACAAACTGATGGAGTTAAAGATTTAGAAAATCCTAGAAAAGTATGAAAACTTCAGAGATCCATTTATGGATTGAAGCAAGCATCGAGGAGGTGGAATCTTTGTGTTGATGAAGCGATCAAACAGTTTGGTTTTCTCAAAAGCGAAGAGGAACCTTGTGTATACAAGAAGTCCAGTGGGAGAAACATAGTTTTCTTAGTCTTGTATGTACGTGACATACTACTTGTGGGGAATGACATACCAATGCTTGAGTCAATCAAGGAATTGTTGAAGAGTTGTTTCTCCATGAAAGACTTGGGTCACGCCGAGTACATTATGGGAATCAAGGTCCATCGAGATTGGTCTCGAAGGATCATTTGACTTAGTCAAGAGACTTATATTAATAAGGTTTTTGATAGTTGACTAACAGTAAGTTCATTATTGGAGCGTTGACATACGTTGACTTTCTCTCTTCTCTCTCTTCTCCATGGTTCTTCATCTTTGATTGGTTTCTTCATTAATTTTGGACTTCAATGGCTAAGAAGAAGAAGCAGACTACTTCTACACCTCAAGTAGCGCAACAGAAGAATGCTCATGATGCCTTTGACACGATTTTGCAGAACTTGAGAAATTCAGGTACTTCGTTTGTTCCCAGTCCGATTCAAGAGGTGAATGAATTGGTTACTCTGGCGCTGACGTTAGTGCACCCAGCATGTGGAGCTATTCCCATAAGTGATGCTGAGACAATTGCGTTGTTTGCTTAGGCTACTGCTAGGCCAGATTCGAGGCATTCCAATGGAACATTACCTAGGGTTTCTGGGTTTACTGTTCTATTGGTTGCTGGAGGATCTGAGCAACGATCTGAGCCAGCAATTCCTCCTCATCTTCCTTCACCTTCTTTGGAACAGAATACGCACAATCACAGTGAGGATTGGGCTGCTCCTTTCACTGGAAATTTGGCTGCCAAAGGAGCTTCTTTGTCTTTTATTGCTCCGAAAGTCCAGGAAGGGAAGCAAATTGCTGAACTACAGGAATCCGAGCTTGAAGCAGGTAATCAAAAATGGTCTAATGCTTTAGTGTTCTATGTGGTTGGCTTTTACCCTACTATTGCTGATGTTCTTCGATTTTTTGCTCAACAATGGAGTGATATGCAAAAACCAGATGTTTATTGGCATGATGATGGGTACTTTATCGTTAATCTATGTTCTAGTGATGATAAAGATACTATAATTTGTTCTGGTCCTCATATGTTCCTCGGGAAACCAGCAATAGTGAAGCCTTGGTGTCCTAAATTTGACTTTAATGCTGAAATTTTTAGAACTGCTCCTCTCTAGGTTAAGTTTCCTAATCTCCCGCTTAATTGCTGGGGATCTGACACTCTTAGCCGCATTGGTAGTTTGCTTGGAGTGCCAATTTGTGCTAATGAGTGTACTACTAGACAACTTAGAGTGTCTTTTGCTAGAGTCCTAATTGAAATTGATGTTACAAAGCCTATGCCTACCTCTGTTTGGGTTGAGAGTCCTTCAAAGGAACTATTGGAGCTCAAGGTAGTATATGAGTGGGCTCCACTTTTTTGTTTTAAGTGCAACAAGGTTGGTTATGATTGCTCTATTAAACCTGTTGTTGCTAAGCCTAAGCAGGTTCTTAAGCAGCCAGCTCCTGTTGCTCCTAAGCAAAAGCAGGCTTGGGTTCCTAAGCCTAGCCAAGCTCCTGCTGTTGTTGTTGAAGTTGGTGCTTCCGTTCATGGACAATTTGTCATTACTCCACAGGTTCATACTTCTCAAAATTTAGATGAGGGGCGGAGAATAGTTGGAAGGAAGACAAAAAGCCAGCAAACTAGAGTTCATTAGCCTGCCTCTACCTCTAATGCTTTTGTTGCTTTATTTGCAAATGAAATGGATGGTGCAGGTGGTTTCACTATAAATCCAAGCGGGGGTAAGGTTAATCCCCCTTTGGTGTCATGATGTACTCTATTTGGAATGTAAGGGGCCTGAATGACCCTAGCAAAGTGGCCTCTGTAAAGAGGTTGCTTCATTCCCATTCAGTAGATGTTGTTAGTCTTCTTGAAATAAAAATCAAATTGAAAAATGTTCTCACATATCAGAGGAAGTTTGGCTCTTCTTGGCTTTGGATATACAATTATGATCATTCTTCCAAAGGGAGGATCTGGCTTGGTTGGAATGCAAATAGAGTAACTATTAATGTCTTGAAGATTCATGAACAGTTCATTCATTGTAGTGTCTCTTCTAAGGATCTTTCTACTCATATTCATCTCACTGTTGTCTATGGGCTTCACTCCATTCATGATAGGCTTCCTTTGTGGGAAGGAATTAGAAGCATCTCTATTCAACATTATCCTTGGCTTTGTGCTGGTGACTATAACTCTGTTCTTCATACTTCAGATAGGCTTCATGGTAATGAGGTCACTGATTATGAAACTATAGATTTCCAGAGTCTGGTTGATGATTTAGACCTCACTGAGGTTAAGAGCAAAGGAGCCTTCTACTCTTGGTCAAATAAGGCTCACACTGGTCCTAGAACTCTATCTAGGATTGATAGAGTCTTTGGTAACCAAGATTGGCTGGCCTCTCGTGGGCATGTTGAGACTGTCTATCTCCCCCCTCTTTATCTTATCATAGTCCAGTTTTGTTGGATGTATGTTCTGCCCCTGCTGGGAAAGGTAGACCTTTTAGGTTTCTAAACTGTATTGCTGATCACCCTGATTTCCTTGATACTGTTTCTCAGGCTTGGGGTTCTGATGGTTTTGTTTGGCAGAAACTTCATTCTGTGAAGTCTAGTATCAAGTCTCTTAATAGCAAGCAGTTTGGCAACATTGAGGAAAAGATTGATCAAGCTAATGTTGAGCTTTCTGGAATTCAGAACTTAATGGCTCAGAATCCTGATGATTTGGGCTTATATGCTAAAGAATCTGATGCTATTAAGGTTGTCAAACATTGGAATGATATTTAGGAAAGCATCTTCAAACAAAAATCTAGGATCAACTAGATTAAGCTTGGAGATGGCAATTCTCATTATTTCTTCTCTGTGATGAAGAATAGACAAGCAAGGAATAGAATTGACTCCATCTTTGACTCTAATCAGGTGTTGCTCAAGGATCCGGATGCTATTTCTCATGAAATCATCTCATTCTATAGGTCTCTTTTAGGGACTCAGGCTCCTTGGCTTCCTGCTGTTGACCTTGTTACTATGAGGAGGGGTAAGCAGCTTAGCTCTACTGCTCAGAGCTATCTCATTAGGCCTATTTCTCATGCTAAAATTGATGATGCCCTTAAGGGAATTGATAACACTAAAGCTCCTGGGATTGATGGCATTAACTCCTTTTTCTTTAAGAGAGCTTGGCATATTGTGAAGGATGATATTTATGCTAGTGTTATAGATATCTTCACTAAAGGGACCTTGCCTAAGCAATGGAATTGCACAACTATCACTCTTGTTCCTAAAATCCCTAATGCTTCTCATGTTAAGGATTTTAGACCTATAGCTTGTTGCACTATGGTTTTTAATCTCAAATCTAAGGTCATAACTGCTAGACTTGCTGCTGTCATTGGTGAGGTGATTGATGATGCTCAAGCAGGATTCATTCCAGGCAAGCACATTGGTGACAATATCCTTTTTGCAACTGAATTGATCAAAGGCTATGATCACAAATTTATCTCTCCTAGATGCATGGTTAAGGTGGATTAAAAGAAAGCCTATGATTCGGTTGAGTGGGGATTCTTGATCACTGTTACGCAGGAGCTTGGTTTTCCTCAGAGATTTGTTAGCTGGATCTGGACTTTTCTTACTTTTGTCTCTTATTCTATTCTTATTAATGGTTTTCCTGCCCCTCCTTTTGAAGCTAAGAAAGGTTTAAGACAAGGTGACCCTATGTCTCCCTTTAGTTTTTGCTATTGGTATGGAATACCTCTCTAGATGCCTTGATGAGCTTAGGTTAACTCCTGATTTTAACTTTCATCCCAGATGTGAAAAGTTAAACCTAACTCACATAATGTTTGCTGATGATCTATTGATGTTTTCTAGAGTTGATAGTGTTTCTGTTAAGCTTCTCTTCCAAGCCTTCTTGAAATTCTCGGGTGCTTCTGAGCTTTCTGTTAATCTTGATAAAAGTGAAGTCTACTTTGGAGGAGTTTCTGTTGATGTTCAGACAGAGCTGAGAGTGCTTCTTGGTGTTTCTTAAGGTACTATTCCTTTTAGGTATCTTGGGGTCCCTCTCTCTTCCAAGAAGCTTACTATTGCTTAATGTAAGCCTTTGGTGGAGAAGGTGACTGCTAGAATCCAAGGGTGGATGGCTAAACACTTGTCCTATGCTGGGAGGCTTCAGTTGGTGAAGAGTGTGTTGTTTGGTATTCAGACATATTGAATTGGGCTCAAATTTTTATCTTGCCAAAGAAAATTCTAAAATAGATCGAGGCTAGATTCAGGTGCTTTCTTTGGACTGGATCCTCTGCCCCTGCTAAGAAATCTTTGGTTGCTTAGAATAATGTTTGTCTCCCTAAAGTTTGTGGTGGCTGGAACTTGCTTTCTCTTCCTGAGTGAAATAAAGCAGCTGTCACCAAGTTACTTTGGGATATTGCTCACAAGGCTGATAATCTTTGGGTTAAGTGGGTCCATATCTATTACTTCAAGCATAAAGATTGTTGGACCACCCCTACCCCTGCTAAATGCTATTGGTTCTTGAAGAAGATTCTGATTTGTAGAGATGTTGTGAATGATCAAGGGGGATGGGATGGTTTCATACAGGGCAACAAGATGAAAATCAAGAAGCTTTATGCTGCTATTAGGCCTCAAGTCCCTAAGGTTCCTTGGAAGAGAGTTATTTATCATAACTTAGCAACTCTTAAAGGTGTTTTTATCTTGTGGCTAGCTTTATGGAATAGGCTTGTCACTAAGGATAGGTTGCTCTAATGGCACATTTCTTATGATCCAAGGTGTTTCTTATGATCCAAGGTGTTTCTTGTGCTTAAATAGCAATGAAAATGTTCAACACTTATTCTTTGATTGTGAATACTCTAGACAGGTTTGGAACAAGGTGTTGGGTATCTTACATGTTTCCAAGCCTGTTCAGCAGTTTAGTGATGAGATTGATTGGCTGAAGAAAATCTGTAGAAGTTCTAGATTGAAAAACAAAGTGATCCATGTGGCCTTCACTGAAACAGTTTATGGTATTTGGATTCAGAGGAATGCAGTTTTGTTTACTGGTTGTTGCAAATCTGTTGATGCTCTAGTTAGGGATATTGTCTTTCATTTAGTCTATAAAATCCCGACGGGAAGCAAATATTTGATTGTTTAGGTGCTTCTCCTGCTTTTTTGGTCTTCTGATGCTGTTGCTGGTTCTTGCTGATTTGTGATTCCTAACTTTTGAGTTCTGGTTTTTGGTTTTTGGGGTTGTTGTTGTTGCTGTTTTGTGTTTGTTGCTCTTGTGGCTCTATTTTTTATGCTGGTTTTTGCTATTACTTCTGCTCTCTTTTGCTGAAATTCAACTGTTGTTGCTGTTTCCCTTGTTGTTGCTGACTGTTTTTCTTTGTTGTCTGCTCTGGTTCTGCTCTGTTCAGCAGCTGGCTGTACTGGGTGCTGTGCTGCTGCTGCTTGCTTCAACTGCTGTTGTTGTTTTCTGCTGCTAGCAGCTTGCCCTGCTGTACTGCTGCTGCTCTACTGTTGTTGTTGTTGCTTGCTGCTCTGCTTGATGTCTGCTCTGCTGTTGTGCTGGCCAGCAGTTGGTTTTGCTGAGGGTTGCTGTTCTAAGCAGCAGCTTCTGTTGCTGGTGATGTGGTGGCTGCTGGTGTTGGTGCTCTGCTTGCTGTCTTCTCTGCTACACTGTTGTGCTGCTGTTTACTGCTGCTCTGTTTGGTTGCTGTTTTTTTTTTTACTGATTTTGCTGGTCTTAGGTGCTTTTGCTGGTTGCAATTGTTGCAAGTCAGTGTTGCTAATTTTGAATTCTGGTGCTTTGTCTTGTGGCTTTCCCTGAGGTGGTGTATTACCCTCTTTTGTCTAGTCCTGTTGCTTTTGCAACTGAGTCTAAGTGGAGGTTTGCTTTTTGCAGTTTGCAGGGGTGGTGTTTTTTTTTTGTTGCTCTGTGTTTGTCTTTGAGTTCTTGGGCCTTGTTTCCAGAACCCTTCCTAGAAGGTTGCTGGAAGCTTGTGCTGAGGGTGTTCTTGTCTCTTTCTCCTGAACCCTTCCAAGAAGGTGGCAGGAGATTGAGCTTGAACTGTTTTGTGTTGGTTGGCCTGTTCTTAGGTCTTGTGGGGTTTGGTGTTTGTTATAACTTAGGTTTTGTAAGTTGTAACTTTTCCTTTTGGTAATAAAATTTCTCTTATTTTCCAAAAAAAATAAGGTTTTTGATAGGTTTAAGATGAAAAACTCCAAGAGAGGATTTATCCCCATGTCCCATGGCATTACACATAGTAAATATAAATGTCCGGTTATGCCAGACGAGATGAGACGTATAGCTATTATACCTTATACTTCGACAGTAGGGTCAATAATGTATGCCATGATTTGTACAAGGTCGGATGTTGCATATGATTTAAGCATGTGTAACATATTTCAGGTAAATCCAGGTGAATCACACTGGACAACTGCCAAGAACATCCTTAAATACTTGAGAAGGACTAAAGGAATGTTTCTAGTATATGGCGGTGAAAATGAGTTAGTTGTCAAAGGTTATACGGATACGAATTTCCAAACAGATAGAGATGATTTCAAATCCCAGTCTGGGCACATTTTCTGTCTAAATGGAGGAGCAGTGAGCTGGAAGAGTTCGAAGTAAAGCACTGTCGCAGACTGTATGACAGAATCAGAGTATTTGGCTGCTGTTGAAGCAGCTAAGGAAGCAGATTAGATTAAAAAAATCCTAATTGAGATGGACATTGTACTAAGTGCTCAAAAGAGAATTGCTTTGTATTGTGACAACAATGTCACCATTGCTCAATCAAAGGAGACTAGCTCACACTTCAAAACCAAAGATGTTGAGAGGAAGTATCTTCTCAATCGAGAGTCATTGGTAGAGGAGATGACAGGATGTGCAAAGTTCATACGGATAAGAACATCGCTGATCCACCTACTAAACCCCTTCCATTGCCGTAGCATGAGAAACTTGCTAATGCAACTTAATTGAGGCTAATGATGTAATTTAAATTGTATTTGTTGTTAAGAAAAACTTATTACATATGTAATACATTCATTGGAAAAATTATGATTAATAAGAAATTCATTTTTTCTCTTATTTAATGATGGTTTTTGATATTAAATAAAATGTCAAAAATAAATATGGATAAATGGGCTCATCAAGTTGATGACCTGGTGAATCAAACCCAACGGGTAAACAAAATCCATATATTATTTAAGTTCCTAGTTCAGAATCATTAAAGTTGACATAAAAGATTTTATTAAATGGACTAGCATGTAAGATTTATTGGATAGTGCAGTTTCATGGGCTATAGGAGCGTAGTGCAGCTCAATCAATCACATGGATATGTATGAATGATGCATGATCGAACTATAGACCTACTTTGAAGTTCAAGTATAGAGCTTCCGAATATATTAGTGGATTCCTTTGACATGAGTGGAACATTGATTCCATTCAATGATTGATATAAATGTGTACGCTCAAACGTCTACCCGTAACTAGAGATTATAAAGGGTGTTTCCCAGTTACATCATGAGTTGAGTGGGAGCCTTAATTGTCAAAAGATTGGATAGAGTCTACCTATTTAATTAGTAATGTGTCTTGGCCCCATGAAGAGGGAGAATTTAGAAAATGCATGGTTTTGCTCAAATGGATTACATAATAATCATTTGTTTTGTAATTCTAACTCATATTTCGAGAAGATTTGAGGATTAATATGATCACGACATGAGATGCAATCATATTATAAAATCGACACACATTGACTTAAGGAGTTTGAATATTGCGAACTTGTCTCAGACAAGTGGGAGATCGAAGGAGTTATTTCTTCGATAAGTGCAATTGCTAGATATATCAAGGATCACTATTATGGAGATAATAAGTTCGTTCTATTGGGTCATCATTATCTATTTCTAGACTATGATTAATGATCTTTGGGATAGTTAAACAGTCCAAAGCCCGCTAGCATGGATCATATGAGATCACACACAAGGGTATTCGGTTAAGCAAGTTAGAGGCCCATTTATGGGCCTCATGAGCAAGTAGCTAATCAGAAATTGGATTGGGCTAGCAAAGTTAGATTGGAGTTAGGTTTTTTGGCTTTGTAATGGTCTCTTATTTAGAGATGAGTTCTATAAATAAGATCCATGCCTAGGGTTGATCAATTAAGTCATAATAAACTTACAGTAGATTGTGAAACAAGGCAACCAAATACCAAAAACCCTAATCCTCTCTCAAACTCACGGCTCTCCCTCCTCCCCCCTTTAGACCAACGGCCAGCCACCCCTAGTGGCGCGTGTGGTGTTTCATGGTTGGTTCGTTTTTCTCTCTTCTCCATACAAAGTCAATTGTAAGATTTAATAACAACTAACTAGTACTAGTGGAGGTCCTAATCCGTGCCCATGGATCAAGTAGAGGAATCACATTTGAGGTTCTTTGTCTCCCTTGTTCTTGCTCGATTATACGTGGAATCACGCTACAAAGGTATTAATTCTTATTCTTTATGTGTTATGCATGATCTTGGGATCAGGTGCTTTATGAATGTGATTCATGTTTTCAATTAGTACCTATAAACTCCTACACTCATGAAGTCCTTTTAAGTCTTTGAGATTTTTATTTCTAGTTTGTTGCTAAGCTTGATAGTCATCGAGTTCATTTTCCTCCCGCCTGTCGTTTTCGAAATGTGTTACTTCCCAGAAAGACACCACTTAGAGCAACAAACATTATGTTCACATTTAGGTTGTGGAGGTAATGCCCGTAGTCTCACTTGAATGCATACAAGGAGACATGTACATTGTCTTTGGGTAAAAGTTCATTATGAAACAAATAGTTAGCTCCCACATTGAGCTATCTTAGCCTGTAATGAGCCATTAAGCTTCCACTGAATCACCTAGCTTTTACTAAGCCAGTGAGCTCCCACTGAGTCACGTAGCTCTCACTAAGGCTAAGAGTTTTAGATATATACTTGAAAAAAACGTTTCGAAGTCATTTCTATCCATAAATGATTATGGTGTCCTTTCTAAGATTCGACAATTTGTTTAGAGTAACATTAGTCATTTGTAATAATCATTAAGTGTTTTATAGGAAGGGATATGATCCATCATTGTTCGTGTCATTTTCAAATGGCATCGAGGTCTCTGTGAAGACACACTATGTTCTTTGTGGAGATATATATGAAAATTTTCAATTTCATAACTTTGAGATGGTCAAGTTTGGCTTAATCAAACAACGCTCGACCAAATCTAGACGTTTTGATGTCTTTCAAAGTCGATTATGTACTTCATTTAACTCTTGAGCTACTCTAGGTCAAGTTTGTTCAAATTTGATGAATATGGCCTTCTTCTTTCAAATTCTTCGTTAAACGTTGAAGTAATTGAATCCACTTTAGCTTTTAGAGTCAATTGTCTATACCAAGAACAATAGCTCTTTACTTTGTCAGTTTTTAACAAGTAACACTTGCTTGTCTTAGGCCGATTTCGAATCGATCAACTGTCAAGAACATATATAGCCTTGAGTATGTTCTTGTTAATGTGACATTGCTAAAGATGTTCAGAACACAAATCCTGCCTGTGATTTTAACTATTTGTGTTTTCATGTTAGGGAAATGTTTGTTTATAATCAAGAATTCTTAACTCGTGGTTTAGACAACCATGCCATTCAAATAAATTTGCAAATATTGCTCTTTACTTTGAATGTGAGTCTTTCTGTGTGTTAACGGATTGTTTGCTGATTATGGAACACAACGACCATTTATTTGTTCATCCTTAGCTTAAAAGATCTTTAAGCAAAACATACTACCTTACAACTAATGTAGCACCACTTGCTTCATTCTAAGCTTGTAAGTCAATAACTTAGCTTATGTGCACTAGTTTAAGGTCAATTTCCAAGTGTAATACTCAACCAGTATTTGATACTTGTGAAGATAATAACTTGCTAAATTAATTAGAATAACATGAACTCTTTATTAGAAATGGAATCTTATTCCTTTTCTTTGTTCCTCGTTTCCTATAATTCTTATCATACTTTATCTCAAAATCTTTCAGAATCATTTCTGTAAGAGTCTTTGACTTTTATACTATGTTAGGAACAATTAAGCATCTAATGCGCCGTACAACAAAGTTCCATCTTTTCCTTTAATTCGTACTTGAATTAATACATCAATGAGTTGTACTCACTAGCATATAAAGCAAAAAGATATGTTGGTTGTCAAGCATTGACAATTTTGAGTTTCTAACTCAATACTTCATGTTTATAAAAACTAACTAGTATTTTGAATACATAATGTCTAACCGTTCTTCTAGACTTGCAAAATTCATTGGTGAGAATTGTATTTTTGAAATGCCTTTCCTTTCTTTGAGAAATATTCTCAAAGATTTCTTTTACCAATCATGGAAAACAATATAGTTTGATTTAGAATTCTATAAATATAAGTGCAAAGTACAACCATTTATCAAGAAAATAACATACTAAGTTTGAAAGTTAAAAGCATTCATGCAAATTTTCAATCTTATTAAGTGTCTTATCCACGCATTAAATTTGTCCCAATTTGGCAAGAATAAGGCAAGTCCAAGTTCCAAAGAAACAATGAGTGGTTAAGCATGATTTGGCTTGTCTTAACACTCAATATTTTAAGGTAAGCAACTATCTGCTAATGGCTCCAAGCCACTCTTGGTTGGATAAATTAAATCGCTGCATCTAATGCTCTCTCAACAACTCATCCACTTTGCCACGACATGCATGTTAGGACTCCATCACTCAAATCGTTGAGTATAACCAAAACCAACTTGCATACCCGGTTGAGTCTTTCAAGGGACGGCTTTTGCAACTTCATGGCTTCGTCT